GTCACTCACACCCACCAAATATTTCAAAAACTGAAATCACATCCTTCTGTCTGCAGGGGCCCAGTTAATTTTTAATACTTTTTGTGGACCAGTTTGATGAGGTCTTTTAGTGGTTTGGCTAGTAAGTGGGGAAGTCGGACACTTCAACAGTATTTGAGTAATGAAAGGAAAAATTACAGGCCCTTTTTAAAAGGATGGGGGCGACAAGCAGTGATATATAAGCAAATCTGTACTTTTGATAACCCATCTGTGTGTTTTTAATGACCTGTCACTATGTGAAGAGTTTCAGAAAAAGGCATAAACATAGTTTATGATGATTCTAGCAGTTGCGTCATCAATAGCACCACTGTTTCATTTATACAGTTTAATCTGTGGCTTTGGGTTTGAACAACAAAGCAAGCTGAAGGCAGCAGCATCACAAATTCATCAGGTCTTGTCAGAACCACCGGGAGTAAAGTTGTTACAGGTAGTGAATCCCTACCAAAGCAAAATGAGCTAATTAACAATTATATGGAAGGTTCTGAGCACCTTAAATAGAACACCTCATCAGCCACGACACCCCCCGTACACTGTACCAGTGTGCCATGGAAAGTTCTGGGCCTTTTGGAAAAGGCGGGGAAATACTTCTAAGGGATATGAAAAAAGACTCCAAATACCCACACCCAGATAGAAAAGAAGCAGCAAGTGGAGAAACAAGTAAAGAATGACCTACAACTGCCTCTAGGCCACCACATGTTAACACACACATCAAGAGAGGCGACTAGAAATACAGAAAAACTAAGACTCAAGAAACAAACTGCATTTTGTGGAAATCTTCAAGTGTTTTGTTTGGTAGCACTAATCTAAGCACAGGCCCGTGCTTTCTCCATGTGCTACAACCTGGCCGTTTGGACACAAGTTGACATCCTTACTCTGTTTACTCCAATACACTGAGTATACAGTCCGCGTGTCATTTTGACCGGCTCTTTTGCTCAGCTGACTTTTGTTCAAAGGCGTACAGTGCTGAAAACATGTTTGTGAACCCCTTAGGATTTTCACCTAAAATGCTATTAGATCTTGATCTAAGTCCTAATAATATATAATGTTAACTCTATTAAATAAAAAACACAAAACGAGTGTGAAGTCACATGGTGCGGCCATCACAAACAGAACAGAATGCAGACGTGGCCATAGTGACGGACCTGTCTATCACAGCCTGCTGGGGAGCTTTTCGCCACACTGTTTTTCTGTCTTTCCCCCTTTTCTCTCAGAGAATGGTGCTGTCAAACACCCCCTTATTAGATTAACTGGGACACAAGGCCTAACTAATGTTTTCCGACATTCACTCCGACCAAATTTGTATACTCTTAACTTCTGAATCCTGGGCTCGCACACTCTCAGGCTCGGAGTCCGGTAGTCAAGACTCATTGCTCTCTTTGTCATCACATATCTCAAACGATATCTCATTCATACACATACGACTTGGTCTTTCAATAACATTGAGAACAACCTCTATAAACTTCAATAACATCAATGATACCCTCGCCCATCAGGATAACTCACTTCTCTGCTTGTGTCCCTTGACCTCATCTGCGGACCGGGGCGGATGAACATGACCAGCCACCTCTCTCATACTAGACCTTTTCAGGAAAGAGCAGTGGAAAACCCTTGACTCAGTCCTTCCTGCTTGGCTAGATCCACTCTACTGCCTTCATTACCTTACCTACATACTGACGCAACTACAACAGCAGATGATACTTTCCAGGAGCCTTCCTCAAGCTGTACAGGTCCCAGATTGGCAAAGCAGCCCCAAACCATGATGCTCCCACCCCCTTGCTCGAGTGTGGGATGAGGTTCTTCTGTTCGAAAGCAGCGTTTGGTTGTTGGTTCATTGTGGCCAAAGAGTTCTACCTTTTATTTGTCTGTCCAGAGAACATTGTTGCAGAAGCCCTGTGGATCATCTGTGTGCTTGCTGGAGAACTTCAGATGGGCACCAGCCTATCTTTTTGGGGTGCAGTGGTTTTCTGCTTGCTATACTTCCACGAAACACCATTCTTGTTCAGTCATTTTCTGATAGTCATGTCATGAACCTTCGTCAAGGTGAGGGAGGCATGAAGTTCTTTGGATGTTATTCTGGGCTCCTTTGCAACTTCCCCGATGATTTTCTGGTTTGTTCTCAGAGAGATTTTGCTCCTGGATCGAGTGACTGTTATCATGAAGACACTGGATGGGTGGATTGGCCCGAAATACTTTGAAATGGTTTTGTAATAATTTCCAGACAAATGGATATTATAATTATTATTAAAATAGTTCTTTATCTCAGATCCTCAGAGATTACCTTAGATTGTGGCTTGACTTATTTTCACACACCTGAATGGTGAAGACCAAATTCACATTTTTTTGCTGATCTTTATATGGGGTGGAGCCTTCCAAACTCAGCCTCCAAGATCGACCTACGGTAATTACTGAAACACCCAATTTTAATTATTATCTCAATTGAGCTAATGAAACTAGGGGTTCATTTACCTTTTCATTTCCCCTTTAACTTTAGTTCTCATTGTTTAATTCATACATAATTTTGTATCAAGAGACAATGGCATTGCATGTTTACATAATGACGGGTTTGGTTCAAGAAGGCTATCATGGTAAAACAATGAAAATTCTATTTAAACTGATCTATGGGGTTCACAAACTTCTTCTTGGCACTGTAAAAGTTATATTTTTATTGTCCCAACTTGAACAGAATTGAGCCAGAATTGTTCATAAGAATTCTCGTGTTTTTCTAAAAATTGTTTTTCACCAAACAGAAGACACAATGAGGACAAACTTATCAATATATGAACTATTGAAAAGTGCGTTACTAAAGCAGCTGCAGTTAAGTTCGATGGAGTATGAAGCATACTGTATTTAGCAGAATTTGTAAGATCTTGATATATGTTCTTAAAATCATTCTTAATATCTCTCCATCCATGCATTTTCTAACTGCTTATCTCAGGACAGCATCACGGGGAACACCAAAATCTATCCCAGCAAGTAACCAGTGCACAGCTGGACACACTCTGGATGGACAAACACACACACTCATACTAGGGCCAGATTTTTCCCAGAACTAATTAACCTACCAGGATAATTTTGGACTGTGGGAAGAAACAGGAGCTGGAATAAATCTACATGAACAAACGTCACACAGACAACAGCTCTTACGTTGTGGATGTGATTCTGGACTGGCGTGGAGCTAGCCTCCTGTGTGGAATTCACATGTTCTCACCCATGATAATGTGGGTTTTCTTCATGTGCTCCACTTTCCACCCAATCCCCAGAGACATGCTGGTTAGGTCAATTTCCCTGCTTAACTGGATCTCCATCCAGGGTGCAGGTCTGCCTTAAGACCTAAACCTCTTCTTGGATTAGCTAGAGCCACAACCCTTCCAAGTAATAAGTCCCTTTCTGATTGGGGAAGGTTATGTTTTTAATGGGTTCTCAATCCCTAAATCCTGTACAGTTTCACTTGCAATCCCAGTCTCCATTTTACACAAAGGGTTGTGGGAGAATGGAACAAGCTTCTCCCCTGGCTCCTTTCAAGACTCAACCTGAGGGGAATCCACAGCCCGATTACCACATGAGCAAAATGGTCCAAATGGCATCCTTTCATCTATATTGAAAACATTCTTATGTTCTTATTTAAATATGTGGCAAAAATAGGCCTATTTTTAGTATTAGAGTATTAACAAACATAGATCATTCCATAATTTGTTCTTGTAAAATGCACACAAGTTACACAAGGAACAACCTGTGAAATATGCAGTTGCAAGTCAACCTATTTGTTTTTCGACCACAGGATAACTTTGAAGCTCCTCTGTTGACTATAATAAATTATTGAATGTACAGTATGATGCCTTTTACAATGTATTTTTCAAACTTATTTTTAACAAACAGCAATTTTATGCAGTTTGTGAAATACCCTCCTATTATCTCAGAGAGCATGACAGAACTGAATGATAAAATAAATCCTAAAATAATGAAAAAACCTTAGTGGCACTTGAAATTCTGTAATAGAAAGTCTTTCATTGTTTCATGGTCAATTTATTATTACTGTATTCATGTTTTAAAACTAACTGCTGAACTGTAAGTCACTGTGGTAATGGCTGCCACTACTCTAATGTAAAAAAAAAAACATTTTGTAAGACGTCTTCACCCTAGAAATGCTGTATATGTACTGTATTTTCTTCCTAACATGACTACATAAAACTGAAAATGCTAATAGTTACTTTTTGCTTAACCCAACTTTATTAGAAATTATGTTGTGAGAAGTGTTAATTTCTTGGTCAAATTGGAATAGACTGAACAGCACTAAAACTGCCAAACCTTGTATGTGACAAAAATAATTTCAGACAAGACCCGCTGGCTGTTTCTAAGGCCACAGCATCTTTTCAATTTTCAGGTAGGGGAGCAATCTTTAATAAAATAAAAGTTATTATTTTTAAATGTGGAGATTCCCTACAAATGTAACTGAGCATCATTTTAAGCAGATGCATGGCTCTATTTAATACACTGATATTATGATGTCATATGGTGATCAGTGGACAAGCTTCAATGTGCTTATTCCTACCAAAATGCCCTAGTTCCAAGTGCTACTGTGCTGTTATGCTACACGTGTACGACCACTTGGTGATCGTTCTCTGAAGCAGAACCTGAAATTCTGACTGAATTCTGAGTTTGGTGTCACGCAGTAAAAGGAACTTTTGAGGACATGCAAAAGTAAAAGTTTTACATAACCAATGTCAGGTGGCCAAGCAATTAGAGAAAGAGAGAAAAATAAAACAAAAGCAGAAGGATGTGGTTAAAAGGAGGCTTTTTTTTTGTTTTTTTGAGCCCACAAAGGGAGTCTGCAGTGCTCATGCCTACAGCAGAGGTGTTATGGTTGGCCAACAGAGGGAAGCAGGGGGGACCAGAATGCCATGCACGGTGAGGGGCGACGGGGAAGTAGAGGTTGATGGGTACTGAATGGTGCGATCACGAACCTGGCACATAGAGAAAAGCCGTGCCCTCGTCCATGGCAAACATGTTGGAGCCCGTACAGACGTAGGCCCCGGCGTCCTCCGGTTGCACGTTGTGAATGGTGAGGATGCCGTTGAAGTCCATGGCCCGGCTGGGCAGCTTGCTGTTGTTCTGGCGAGTCCAGACCAAGGTGTAGGCAGGCGACTACAAGAAGCGATGGACAGGTGGGATTACTGTTCCTTGTTCATGACAGCAGAACCCCCTTATTAAAAAACAAATCTAGAGCTCCTGCTCATAGTGGTCATCATCTTACAGCATGGAGCAAAGTACTGCTGACACAAGACACGTTCTCAAAGCGCGGTCAAGAATGATGGGACAATGGGCATTAAGAATGACCTTAATGCTCTTTTAGCTGTTGTTAAGCTACTGCACATTCCCTATCTATATCCCCACCAATATGTATTCATAACACAATGATTTTAAGCATTTGTGCTGCACAGAACATCTGGTTTGCATCTCAGTGCAACGTCTATAAAACAGAAAAATGATGTGTTATGTTGAACAGATGAAAACAAAAGCAAGGCTTGTGGTTGTACAACAGCCTGTGGGCGTGTGGAGCGTGTCGGTGAAGAACGTGCTGGAGAGCCAAAGTCAATAACATTCAGCGTTTCTAGTTTTCCAAACAAGATTTCTGTAGTGGCCTGATGTACTATACTGTACATGCACTACAGATTTTAAACTGGTCCATGTACATACAGTAGTACCAGAAACAAAATCCACTGGTTTTATCCATTTTGGTATTTGTAATCTCATGCTGACATTTTTGTTTTTCATATTCTTGGGATGAATTAATTAATGTTCATGGAAATTGAATGACTCAGAGCTTCACTGACTGACTGCCTGGCAGGGAAGCTTCAAGTCTCACCTTGCTCTTGGCTGTGCAGATGAAGCTGACAGTCGACCCGATTTTGACAGTCTGCACTTTGGGCTCCTCAACCGTCACTTCGATTGGTTTGGAAGGAACAGCTGTGGGTAAAGAAGAAACTATAATAAATTATTGATACATGGAACAGCAGTGAATTAAATCTCCACTTCTAAAAGCTTGCTAAATATAAGAGATTTGACAACAATAAGGAATGCAATTTTTGAAATAGGATTCTTTAAATTCTACTGTAACAAATTAAAATGTTCAGTAAGTTTCGAATTCTTATTTGAGGCAAATAATCAAATGAATGTACTGTAAGTTGTTTTTTGATTGTTAATGTGACAGCTTTACTTTACAAAAACAGGGTGATATTGGAAACAAGGCCTTGCTAAAAAGATACATCTTTATTTAATTCATAAGGATGACTAAAATGTAGGTTCAGGATGGCTGAATTGCATGACCAAAAATGCAGTTTTATTGTAATTCTAAAAGGCTGTTGAGTTTTACAAAAATCTTATGGGTCGGGAGATGAAGAGAAGAGTAATTTATAAATTCTCATCTGTGAGTTTCCTTAGGAAATGGAGAGCGTTTAAAAAGCAGCTGTAAGATTAGGACACACGGCCAGTTTCAGCATGTTTGCAGAGGCTGGTCCTTGGACACTGTGCACGTACTGGTCACGACGATCTCTGCTCGGCTCCTGTTGGAGCTCCGAAGGTCTCGGCAGGTGCAAATGTAAGCTCCTGCATCGCTGGGCTGAATATTGGAGAAGAACAGCTCTTCACCTGGAAGAGAGAATGGTCACCACATCTCAGGGACTTCAGAGAAGGTTCAAACTACAGCATCTACTACTGTGCATGTAGGACATGAGAGATTATAACAGGAACGCCCATACTGACGCAAGGTCCTTAAACTATAAATACATTATATTATTCATTCATTTTTAGCCCACAAAGGGAGTCTGTAATGCTCATGCCTACAGCAGAGGTGTTATGGTTAGCCAACAGAGGGAAGCAGGAGGACCAGATTTATACCAACTTTTCTCCGCAACTGATTTTGGACCATACCTTGGCGGCGTTTGTCTGCAGTGCTGGGCAGAGGGCGCCCGTCTTCTCTGGTCCAGAAGAAGTAATGAGGGGGGGATCCAGTGACCTGGCACCGCAGGGTCACCGCACTGCCTTGAGAAACTATTGTTCTTTCTGGGTACACCTTCACTACCAGAGAGGCTGCGTCTGGAAAGACAGAAGAGCCTCAACATTGCATTTGTGCATCCTTACCAGTAAATGTGGTCAATAATCACATTGCTAGGCTAATATCCCATCATTCCCTGGTACAAATTGCTAATCCAGCCTGTCCACTGAAAAGCAAAGCAGACGCCAAGTGAACTGATAACCTACTGTATGGGCGGCACTTCTCTCTTTCTTGAGGGTTGCCTACATATCCAGGGGCACACCTGCAGAAGAAAGGTGATGAAGGTAGGAAAAAGGTAAATTCTTAAAATTCAGAGATAAGGCCACACAAAAGCACCACAAATCCCCCACATTAATGGTGTGGATCTGTGGTTAGGACTCTGGACTCATTACCAGACGTTTATTGGTTCAAGGTCTCCATGCAGTAATGAATGTACACAATCGCTCTGTTTGTTGGCAGAGTTGCAATGAACTCATATTCCATTCAAAGGGAACATTGTACCCTGTGTCTCCTCGCTAATATGGATGTCAGGATCAATCCAAATCCCTCATCACAAATTTCAGGCAGGATTTAATAAACTACAGCGGCAGCATCTGATTTTGACACCAATCAGAAAACAAATCACAACCATGTTGATGGAAAAGTGTGACATGCATATGCTGTTTTCAGAGCTGCTAAGTTCAAATGATTCTTTTTTAATTATGAAGCATTAGAACAAGGACTGTCCAACACATGAAGTGAGAGGCCAGTGTGTCTGAAAGTTTTTATTCCAGCTCAGGTCTGAACCTCTTCGCTCATGATCAGGTTAATTTAAAATGTCTCCCAGTTACTCAGGGGCTGGTGCTTTAAAGACACCTACAGTAGAAAACCTCCGACACAGTGGTCCTCAGGGCCTTGTTTAGAACCCTCTGCAATAAAAGTTTGTTCTTTTCATTTTGTTTCAAGTTTCAAGTTTGTGAGTCATAATCAGTGCAGGAGAGGAGAGAGGTTGAGAGGCCTACCGTTCACAGTACTGTCCAGTATATCCAGGCTGGCAGTCTGTGCATCGGTACCCACCATTGCCCAGACTCTCACATGTGGGGGAGAACCTGAGAGAGCAAGACATTCAGAACATCAGAAACAGCAGACCTGCCATTGAAAGCCTCAGATGTCCATTCCCAAGAATTACTTTAATATCACTCAAGGCATGAGCTGTCAAAGTGAGACCGACTGCATCTGTTCAAAACAGTTTGGAAACTTGCTCATCTTTCTTCAACCTTCTACCAGCACACGAAGGAAGAAACAATCTACCGCATACACATTCTAGAAAGTGCTGATCACTGCTTCTCACACACGGCAATCCCATCGCCCAAACTGAAGGCCTAAAGTATGAGGCAGGCAACTGGAAGCAACTTTTAATGATATGTTTGTAGGCATGCAAGCTATGTGGTGTTCCAGGGAAAACACTGGTCACAGCTTACTTAGTCTATCCTAGATGCCAATTAAGATCGTATGGACTAAAGTATAGAGGACCTGCAATTTGATAGGCAGGCATTAAAAGTAGAAACACTTAGGGAACTCATGATTCACAGGCAGCGATTGACAATGCTTGTATCTGAAACTGGGGTCCTCCAATCTGGACAATGTATCCTAATCAGGACCCTTCAGAAGCTTAGTGATCTTCAGACACATGCAGTGCTCTCCTTTATCACACGGTAAAGCATGTTTTCTGGCAACTTGGCTGTGCGTTCCTCTGGATGTGTAAATGAATAGATGCCATTCTCACTGGCTGTCTGGGTCTGTGTGAGGGCAGGCACATGGCTGACAGTCTTCTGGGGTACCCGCTGTGGGGTCGCCGTAGAAACCAGGGGCACACTGCTCACACAGCTCGCCGACTGTGTTGTGTAGACAGTTCTGAAGAGAGAGGGAAAAACACATTGAGAATACAGCAGTATGGCCAGAAGCCGGAGTGTGGAGCAGTGGTGAAGGCTCTGGACTTAAAACTAGTTTAGAAGTTCACAACCCTTCAGCAAGTTACTTCACTCAGATTACACTGGTAAAATAAAATACCCTGCTGTATTAATGGCTGCAAAGTTCAGTCACCTCTGATTAAGAGTGCCTGCCAAATGTATATAATAATAATGTATTGTACTACAAACAACAAAGCATTACCCCCTGCTTAATCAAGGATTTTAGTTAAAATGGGCAAAAACCTATAAGAACAATATTAATTTTGCAGTAGTACACAATAGCAAAAAAAATAGGGGAGACAATGAGAGGTCATTCTCTCTATAGAAGTATGAAGGTTTGTGAGAATGTCATTCCTGCCGATTTTCATCTCCTAAGTAAAATGAAGCACAAAAGCAAAAGGGTATTGCAGCTGACAGGGACTTTCTGGAGAAACACCACAAAGAAATATGTGTCCCTCTGTGCCACCCAGCTCTGACTCACTGCGGGCTACTAAGAGACTTGCAGGAGATACTGTGCCAGTTGGAGAGGTGAGCTGTCCTCTCTTGTTGCTGTCACAGCACGTCTGCAGGTGCCTGGGATGTCACAGGCAGTCTAGACCCAACTCTGCACCCAGTGAGTCACAGTCACAGCTGGCTAATGACATGACTGAGTTTAAAACCTGCAATTTCTGGGTCCTAGAGCACAACTTACACTTGGGCAAATGGGGGTTCTTATTGAATTGTTCTTACCCCATCCCACTAATGGAGATTTACTGTCGAAACCTCTCATCAATTTTTGCATCTCATCCAAAGGACCAGCACCTTTTTACAGTGCCCTCATGACTATACTGGGGCATTAAGACCCACACAGATCACAAGGTGAGTGCCCCATACTGGCCTCACTAACACAATTTCCAGCATCCATCTCAGCTCTCCCAAGAGGTCTCCCATCCAGGTACTGGCCAGGCCCACACCTGCTGAGCTTCAGCGTCAATGTAATCTGACTCTCCTGACGTTCCTCCTTGTTGGTTGCGGGTGCATGATGATATTCTTGCAGAGGCAAAACTTGCACCAGTTTCTTCCAGGGTGCAGGTGAAGTGGCTAAACTGAAGAGTTTGTCTTAAGTTCCTATCTACACTGGCACACGCTAACAAGAAATAAATCTAGGGGCCAGCGCGGGTCTGAGGCGTTTTTACCGTGCACACGCCAGTCTCAGGGTGGCAGGACTCCGAGTGCCCATTGCAGTCACACAGCTCACAGTGCCCCAGGTAGAGTCCTCCACCGGTACGACTGTAGCCATGAGCACAGTCCTGCAGAGAGAAACGCAGTGAGACATTCACATGGCAGTCAGAATGACCATTGCTTTGCACTGCCCATGGTGTGAAATCAGAGTTACAGGACTTGTGAAGCAGGAGCCATCGAGGTGATACTATCCTAATATGCCCACGTAACACAGACGATTGCTCTCTTCAAAACTGCAGGCATATTTTTATACCATCACCACAGTAATCTCCACTCCATGCTCTAGAGAGAACTCTATAGGCAACTGGAAATTTCCAAGGGGCTGCAACCTGTGCACAGTGGAAATTTACACTAAGTTCAATTCAATTTATTTTTATATAGCGCCTTTCACAACAAGGTTGCCCTCGTTGCCCTAAGTCGATAAAGTGTGCAACAGAGTTGGGTTGGAACAAATAACAGAACTCAACGACTCTCTAGTATCACTGGTGCTTAGTAAGATTGCCCATGCTGCTGTCGCTGCTGCCCAGAACTTACCTGGCAGGACAGACCCTGGTACCCAGGCGGGCATCGACAGTGCTCCACTTCCAGCGCCTGGCGCAGGCCAGTGTACGCGGGCACCGCCACCTCCATGCTGACCCCCGAGATGCTGACAGACCTCATTTCTGTGTGGTGGGAGGCGCGGATGAGGATCTCGTCCAGGTCCGCCAGGACCATCATCAGGTGCTCCCGTGTGGCTGGCATCCCGTCCGGACGATGCCAGTGTTCCTAAGACAGCAGGGGGTACCTTGTTAGCCCGACTGGACTGGAGTTACTGCCCGGCGCAGAGGGGCCACGTTAAGAGAACAGACACAGGAATTAAGCAGCAGTAAATGAGGCAGAGGGTGGCACAGTGGTGCAATGGTCAGAACTGCTGGGACCCTGGATTCAGTTCCAGACCTGGGGGTTCTGTCTGTGAGGAGTTTGCATGTTCTCCCCGTGATAGTGTGGGTTTCCGACGGCTGCTCTGATTTCCTCCCAACATCCGACAACATGCTGGGAAGTTGATTGGCTTCAGGGAAAATTGATCCTGGTGTGGGTGTGCGTGTCTGTGTCTGCCCTGTGATGGACTGGTTATAGCATGGGTGTACAAATCAGGCTGGGTGTTCTAAATAGGAAAGGTTGTGGGCTAGAAAGCTTCGTCTAGGTCTTTTACCTGCATTAGTCCAAAAAATCTCCTCAGTCTCCTTTAATTAAATAACTTTGATAGAGTGGGATTGTGAGGATACAGCCCATGTTCTTTTTTTCCCCCACGGGCACTAGTTTGTCAGGAGCTCGAACCCCAGTAAAGATGAACCCAGGGTGCAAGAGGGAGGGGTGGGAGAGGCAGCCTACCTCCCTGAACACGACTTCGAAGCTGCGGGACTCCCTTGTGCTCTGTCCCCTTGGCCAGGGCTGCCGGGCCACCAGCGTGATATCGTTGCCCTGGTAGGAGAAGAAGCAGCAGATGAAACGCGAGAGAAATGAAATCTACAATCTGCAGCACACCAATCAGACATTCCTGCTCACAGCTGCAAGGAAAAGAAAATCCAGATGTCTGAAAGGACAATTAGACATCGACAGAGGAGGAACACAGTCGAAGATCAGGGGAAATATGTTTTGAGTCCCAAACAAGCACCTACCAAAGGAACATTTGGAACTCAATACATTTGAATGCTGGGGAATACGTTCATTAATGCAGCAATGCCTGGATATGCTTATTATTTTGAGAACAAGACCAGTACAGTATGTTTCTAGAATCTTTTTTATAAAAACCAAAACCATCACGCAGTATTTAGACTTCATTACAGACAGCCAATTCAATTGGAATATGAAGAAAAATGTACAGTATTTTATAGTCAATCTCATATAATGTGCATGAGTCCATTGTGACACTGTTCTATAAAAAATATTTAAATAACTAATTAAACAGTTTTATTTTTACATTTTACTTTTTTTACATACTTTTTGAAGCAAAACCAAACTAGATATAATGCCAATTAAAATAAATACAATATTAGAAACAGTTATAATAGTAAACATGAAAGTATTTAGAGGGAAAAAAGAGGAGTCTCACTTTGTAAGGCTTCTGTTCTTTATAAAGGACAGGCTGAAACATTTAGAATTGTAAGTGACTCCTTACATATCTCACACAGACAGTGGCACGCGATTGTGCTAGATATGGAATTTCTTGCTTATACAGTTTGTGCGTCTTATTTTATTGTCAGGAGCTCTATAACGCAAACTAATTTCCTGTGCAGAAAGACAGACTTTTTACAAGCGTTTGAGCAGGGGGTAGTTTCTGTTCGTGTTGCGCACAAGCTCACAAGTACAGGTTAACTCCAGTACGTGCTGAAAAGCAGAAAAAGAAAAAAAACAACCACTTCTTTCCAACTGTTAATCCCTCATGCCAGAATAAGCTTTAAGAGCTGAAATGCTGTGCTGCTGCTTCTTTTTTCTGACTTTTCAGAGTGCTGTTTTTTTTACGTTTGCACAGCGTAGACACTCACAATGATCTGCACGTCTGCGTCTTCGACAGGAGATCCTCTTGGGCCCGCTACATAGGAGATGGTGTACTTCAGCCGTCCTCCATAGGAGCCCACCTGGACAGCAGGAGACAGGTGATCCCATTACAGTCACTGTACAAACTTGTCTACAAGTCTCCTAACTAAGCACATACAGATAAATACATATTACATTTTATCTGTAAAGTCAACTTACCTTACAGATATAGGGGCAAGTCCAGTGTCACATTTTTCCATTACAAACCTGTTTATTTCATACTGGTTAGCAATACTACTAAGGAGATGGCTACATGAACATGTTGCATAGGGAGATACTGTACTTCTCAACACTTCAGAAATACCCAGAATTCTGACTTTTTTTAATTCCATAGATTTTCAATGAACTGAGCGAGACTACTGAAATGCAATGAAGTTGATCACAGATGTTTTTGATCTAGAAATATTACACCATGGGTGATTGAAGACTACAACCACTTTAGAAGAATTATTCCTGAAAGCAAACACATTTCCTGGTAAATAACTTGAGAGGAGAGAATTTTATATTTATCCAAGACAGTGTTTACAACAATATTTTTAAGTTTTTCTTTCCATACAAGCAGTTTAACTGTAAGAATTTTGTATTTAAGCACAGGACACTTCACAAGGCTGATACAGAAAAGATCATTTGATAAACACATATTTCCTTAATGAAATGGCAACAAGCCCTTCACGAAACAGTTGTTTCAAAGAACGATGGCAACAGAGTTAATTTTAGACCCCCTTGTAGGTCCTGTCTGAACTTATCAGAAAGAAATGCGTTCCCATTCAGCAAATCTTTCTTTCCTCAAGTCTGAGGAAACCTTCTGGAGGAACCTTTGAGTGAGCAGAACCAAAAACAACACTGTTTTCTGCATTAAGAAAATAAAGGTAATGCTTTAAGTACTTAAAGTTAAGCTGAGGTAGAATGAGTCTATTTTAATTACGGTCGGGAGCCCTCAGGTAGTGAGTTACAACCAGGGCTTTGCAAATATGAGAGAATATGCTTTGCAATGCTCAAAGTGTTAAATTAGAGATAGAAACAGGGTTTTTGTAGCAGGAGTCCAGCTAGCGTTTGCCCATCCATGTGATACTATCTTTCCATGTAACACAGATGATTATACTCTTCAAAACTACAGACATATTTAATGACCATCACCACAGTAATTTGCTGTCAAGAGAACTCTGTAGGTAACTATTGAAGTCCAGCTATTTCACTGGAGCACCAACCCCTGTGAATACAGGCTAGATGGGAATATACAGTACATGAGATGACATCATCGTTTGATTTCACTTTTGCGTTATACACAGGCTTGGCCTCTTTTTACCTTATCCCCCTTGAACTGCTGTGGCAGCTGCCAGTAGTACAGGCCCTCAGGAAGCAGGCTGAAGCCTTTGTAGACCAGAGCGTACTGGGACAGAGGAAGACCGAGAGCAGTGAGAGAAAAGTGGGAGAGAGAAAAGACAGGAAAGGAAAGCAAAGCAGACGGTGGGACCAGTCACAAAAACAGGGTTTCACACAAACTGGTAAAGCACAGACCACTAGCACAGTTTCCACTCTTGCAGCAGATGCCTGTAACACAACAAAATGAATACAGACTCCACAGTGGCTGGCTGATGTACAGTATCTGTTATGGACTACAATTCAACAGGCTAGAAAAACTGCCAGGGTCCTGTTTAAACAGATCTTGAAACTGGATGTCTATAAACGTACAACTCTAACTTAGCCTCATATTTTTTTTAAAAACTGGCTCATGCTAAGATGAAATTACATTTTACAATTACAATCGCAAGCTTCTATACCACTGATATTTAATTACCCCTGATCTTCATCTTTTTTTTTTTGCATTTACTCTGAAACTTTGAGGGCTGTTGCGGGCAGGGACTTTGAGTAATTCCCAATATAATTGGTTTCAAGGACAGAAAGATAATCAAAAGTCTATACTACACAGCACGTTCAGAAGATTTGTTTCTTACTATTTATTACTTTAAACAATATTTGATGTTGATACTGGTGTTGTTGACAAGCAGGTTCTATAATGATGATACATGTCATAGAATCTAAGCGGACATACTGTCTTTCACACACATACTGTACTTTAGCCTTCATTTCATCCCAAACACTAAGAATCACACACAGATTCACTTTGCTTTATGAATATGCTTTGCTGAGGAAAATGACCACACTTGATACTGTAGAAGGTTCTGAATTTTAGAAAACCCAACCCATTATATGCAGGTATGCAATTCCCATGTCCTACTGTTAGTCCAGAGAAGCTCAAAATTAAAAGGTGATTTTTATGAGAGAGAGAAAGGGAGCTTCTGATTCTTTCCTGAAAGAATATTTTATTCTAATTGTCAACTCCAATTTTTAGATCACCTCAGCTCACCAGTACGTTTATAACAGTAGATAGATACTTTATTGTCCACTGCTGTGGAAATTTGTCTTTGGCTTCTCCCACAGAAGTACAAAGCACACAAGCAAAACATAAGAGTCACATAAAATGTAATGGCAAGTAATGGCAAGGAGAAATCAAGTTACTCCTTCCTGGAGGTACTTGAAGAAAGTCCCACTTGGCCAGCTGAAAGGCCTCATCCAGTGCCAGCACCTTTAACAGTAGAGTGTAACTTCATATCTTTATCATATTAGTGGCATTCACATGCACAAACAGGAAGAGGTTATTCAGGGGGGAAATTTACCACCGGTAGCGGGGGCAGTACCTTTTCAGATCCACCTGGCCTGGGGCCGCGCGGAGGGAGCAAGTTTGTACCCCTCTGAGCCTGAAGGACAGACTGGCCGTGCCCCCCCCCCAAAACAGAAGAGGATTAAAAAAAGGAAAAAGTACCGCAGAGCTAATCAGATTTCACTCAGCCTCTCGGCAGTCAACGTTGTAATTTGAGGTACAAAGCATACTGTAAGCCTCTTGAAAATGAGTCTAAGAAGCTTGAAAATGGAAATATTCAGAGCTGTGCGACTAGAAAGTTATACAGAGAAACAGCTGACATGGCTTGGCGTCTCTCAAGCGTGATCTCAGGCTCCTGTTCACAAGTGCATTGCAAGAAAATTGTCTGAAACTGCAGTCCCCTAGTAGCAGTAGTAGCAGCAGTCTCTTTCCCTAGTCTGGTCATTCTGCCCTGGTTCCAGAGTAACCACTTAACTGCCAGTTATTTTTCCAGCTGAGTACTGAGTAACTGATTGGTTTTAGGCAGTGGTTCTCAACCGGGAGTACGCATACCCCTGGGGGTACCTAGAGATGTACCAGGGGTACCCTGGGTGTCGCATCCAAAATGGCGGATTTTTATGTGCTTAGTTTTTAGTAATTTATCAGCTAATTCTGTAATCATATATGCAGATTTTCCTATTTCTATTGTTATGAGGAGAAAGGGGGGCAAGTGCGATTGCAGAGGGTGTCCTCTGTCCGCTGACATCTGCACGCAGCCACATCAAGGAAGGTGGCGGATTCCCAGATACGCTTTGTGCTGTGATTTTGTACTGGAGCGATGTGGTTTTTTTCTGGGTAACTATTTTGTATTTTTATTTCACACCGTCCAATCATGGAAAAATATTTCGTAAGAGGAACAAAGAGAAAGTTAATTCTATACAGAGTGATAACAGAATCGGGGGTGTGTCGTGGCTCTGTGGCTCAGGATCTGCGCCTGTGGCTGGAAGGTTGACGGTTTGTATCCTCTGCGGCCGGCAGAGGAATCCTACTCCGGTGGGCCCCTGAGCAAGGCCCTTAACCCCAACTGCTCCAGGGGCGCTGTATAAATGGCTGACCCTGCGCTCTGACCCCAAGCTTCTTTCCCTGTCTGTGTGTCTCATGGAGAGCAAGTTGGGGTCTGCGAAAAGACAAATTCCTAATACAAGAGATTGTATAGGGCCAATAAAGTGATCTTATCTTATTATATTTTTATTCAACTATAATACAACACATACATACATGCAGAAAAATGAGAAAAACAAACACTCCTTTCTTAGCGTTCTAGGCCTACGATAATCTTAGGGGGTACCCGAGGAGCCTGGCCGACCCTCCAGGGGTGGAGAACCACTGGTTTAAGGTTTTGGTTACCCAAATGAAATGAAAGGCTCTAAGGTGCACTAGCAGCAGTGCAGTGGGGGACCGAGCTCTGTAAGGGCGTTTGCAAGCACTCGTACTGTACCTGGGAGCTGGGAGGCTGAGGGGAGCGGCCAGGGGATGCAGAGAGAGAGGAGGAGGGCCGGGGGACCCGAGCGGAGGAGGAGACAGGAGAGCCAGCGGGCGGTGGGGGAGGGGGGGCGGGTGCCGGAGCCCGGAAGGCCGGGGGGCCCGGCGGACCCGGAGGGCTGGAGAAAGAGCGAGAAGCAGGAGGCCCGCGGGCGACTATGCTCCCAGGCGGAGCGAGAGGTCCGGGGCTGTTGGAGAAGTTGGAGATGAGGGCCCAGATTTCGTCATCAAGCCTCTTCAGCTCCTCGGCTGGGGTGGTGGACTGGAGGACAGGCGAAGGAGAGTGTGTGACCACAAGCAGGGAAAGAACCCCAGAAGGAGGTTCAACATGCAGCTCCACTGGGGGTGACAGGAGACGGAGGAGACGTGCAGGGTGACAGCCCAGCCACTGCTTTTTTCTTCACAGTCATGCCGAGTCTCAAAGAAATACTGAGTGAACATGCAATTCTGTGTACTGCACTGGGATAACAGAGACCTTCAGGGCCTTTCTTCATCCCTGCCTAGGACATCCGCATGCTTCTATTAAGATCAAGAAAGTTCAGTATTGCTGGACTGAACATTAAGACCTTCCTGATCCAGAGACAGAACACCTGAACCAAGAGGCCTTTCCATTCGTGGTCCACAGAATCCCAGTAACCTCTGTTCATTTCATTAAGGCAATTCTTGAGTAAACTGACCATTAATCAGGCCTTTCGTCATTGCTTTCCAGCTGGAGATACTATAACACTATTTATATGAACTCTCGTTGAGTTGATTGAGAATCGACAATTGGTAACTACGCCTAAGAGGCAATTAGGTGCATAAGGAAAAAGGAAAGGATTCTATTAAGTAACAGTACTGTGAGAAGAAAAGGGATGTGGATTCTACCTGACCTGCATATCTCCGGAAACCCTGTGATAGGCTAGTACCCTATATAGAGGGAATTTACATCCAACAGGACACTCTGATCTGATGAGCTACTCGGCCCAAGGAAGAATATCACTTATTTATATTATGCATGTAATCTAAACCCTGAAAATAATAGTATATGAATGTCAAGGGCTAAAGTTATAAATCCCGTCTTAAACTGTCTACGCTAATTCTCATACTCTTAGGAAACTCAGTCAATTGTGCCCCACATAAGCAGGAAATACAATTTGTAAATTAAACATCTACAGTACTGTATGTATATTGGCTCACAAAAAGAGAGATTCTTTCTCTCACATTACGTCTCTTCAATCACATTGCTTTACTCTTTTGGAAGTGCAAAAGGTTTACTCTTGATCTTACTGTCATTATGTGCTTTTAGCTTTACACTACTGCATTCCATAGGACTTTTGATGGGATATTGCTGTTTCTTTTTGTATCAGGAGTCTCTCAGAGCTGTGGTAGAGTGGTCGGAGCTGATTATGTAGAGTGGCATATCTACTGGTATTCCCAGACATATTGGTAGATGCTGTGTTGTTTACATGATCCTTCATTGAGAGTGAGAAATATAGTACTTTGTAAAACAATCATTTATTAGTTCAGACCCCAAAAATGTAATGCTAACTATGATATAAAACTATCAGGCACTGATCAGGGAATCGCATTTCAGTTTTAATTTGCATGCTTTGGTTACAGCTTCATGCAATGTCACACTTGTCTACTATGTTCAGATTAGAAGGCTGCTTCTCTGGTATCTCATGCCAGCTGATGCCTGCTGGTCAATAAAGCCTCCAGCACCCCTAATACCTTGCTGGCTCTCTTTGACCTGGTATGGCTCGTCCCCATGGAGTCCATTAATCCCCAAATGGATGCATCCTTCCTCAGCTGCTCCTCGGTCAAGCTGGAGTCTTTCTAGTTACACAGATAGAGCAAATCTTCCCGTAAAACCTCCCCTCATGAGGAATTTCGTTTTGGTTTAAGGAAGCAATTTGTGTGCACATGGCACTTGCTGGGCGCAGGTATGGATCAGTGTGGAGTACTGATCAATAACAAAAACACATGCAGAGTGAAGAAAGGATCAATAGTCCGAGATTAAATCAAAGCAGTCACAAAACTCAGAGGAACTGGTGTCTATTGACAAGGCATACAGAATATAAACATACTTAGATGCAACCAAGCCTGTCTTGAATTTATATTCATGCCCCAAGCATGCTGGGATGTTTTTTGTTTAATTTAACAAAGAGCCACGTGTGGAAGCCCTTACTTTCAATATACTTGGTCTCCTTCATTTACTCAGCTGTTTCCATTTTCTTGTCCACCACCTATTGGTCATTAACAAAGTCAACCTGATGGACTTTTTCGGAATCAACAGCAAAACCAAACCAGAGGACAGAAGAAACTACATAGAAGAGCTTTTAAAACTGGAACAGGAGGTACTTATATGAAACATAGGCTTGCAGTAGTGTGAAACATGCTACCCAGAGGCATGATGTTCAAGCCAATACTTTGTCTTCTTTCATTAAACTCTGGATGAGATAATTAGATCCACTTGCTAATAACAACCAAATGGGCTAGATGCACAAATGCTCTCATCATCTTTATATTTGTTCTTATGCAACTGCAACATTTAGAGTATTTCCATGTGTGAGCATCACATTCCTTTGTATTTCAGTGCACATGGTGTTTTCAGTTATTACCATTCTAACTCAACTTTGACCTTCTCTGTGAATTTTAAAGAAGAGAAATGTTAATAAAGACTACGGTTTTAGTTAATCTGCCTGATGTAAGGTGTTATTTATTAAGCAAATTGCTTAGCTCTAAGAGGTATAAAATCGGATTTTAATTTAAGTACAAGAAATGCCACCACCTGTTTCTTTTAGCATCTGACACTTGATTCATAATGTAGCCACGCTTGCTTACCAACATCATGACTGCATTGTAGGGAATTAATCTATTGCATTTGAAATACAAATGCAGGGTTAGTAGTATGTTAGTAGACATAAAGAACGGCCTGCAAATGAATAAAAATGTGATGATAAACCCGGCACTGGAGCAGGACAAAAGACACTACACTACATTGACTGACTATGAAAAAGACCAATCTCTAGCGTTTGTTTGGTATCACCACCTAGGTGGTCTCTGTGGTTTCAAAAACCATCGCAGGGCTGACATGGAAATCTCCTGAGGGTATTCCTTGGCAAGGGTCCCTGGCACATGCCACTGCCAACAGCTAGAAAAGGAGGTGGATCACCACTGCATGGCACGTTTGGAATTCACTGATGGCAGGTGTGCCCAGGTCCTTGTGAGTACAGTCTGATTCACTTAACAGCGCACGCATTTCTACTTTGAAACTTTCTTGTTAATGATATCACAGGCTATTGTCTTTTACTCAAATCTGAAGTTCTGCTCATTCATTCAATCTTCTTATCTCACATCGGCCAGTGAACCAAGAGGAGTGAAATATCATTCTTATTCTTTCTAGACCCACCACAGTTGCGACCAAAATGGAGAGCACATTTTTTGTAGGTGCAGCAAATGTTCACTAAACACTATTCTGATGTACTGTAGGTGGATAAGTTTCAAGCAAATGCACATTATGAACAATACAGAACTGCAATGGAAAGCGTTTTGGAATGCGTTTTTCAAAGGATTTGTTCCTCTTACAAGCAGTTTCCCAGACCCTGATAATTACGAATATAGGCTTACTTTAATTTGGGAAAGCAAATTTAAGAGTTAGGCAAAAAACCATCCTGAACAAATGCCTAAACTCCGGTTTACAAGCTATTATCTGCACTATTTAAAAAACATAACTATAAGCATTCACAGATTTGTCATGCAGAATGGTGTCCCTTTTCATTGAAAAAAGGTTGAATCATGCAGTAACATGTTGGCATGTTATATAACACTGGTACTGTATTTCATTCCAGAAAGGAATCAGAAAAAAATGGGAAGGGACAAATCTTTCACAGTAGTAAGTTACTAAACACATATAGACGTTTATATTTGTAAATTAGGAGCTTGTTCTTCAAGGTGACAAAAGAAACACAAGATCTATAAGGATCAGGATCTGTACGTTCACCACCATTTCATAATTATTTCTTTATATGAACTGTATATGCTGCTGTGGAATGTACTCATTTTTCTAACAGGCAAAATGCTCCAGAAATCTGCTGATTTCCCGTGACAACACTCACTTGATTTGGAGATCTCCCCTCTTGATGATGAATTAATTCACCTTATGAATTCTCAGACTTCCTGCTCAGCTCTGTATGGCCAGGATAGGAAGTATCTTAGACAAACCTTAGAAGCCAAACTGTATTCTGATTTGGTGCACTTCATCAATAGACGTTATCTGATAACATCAAATCTGTTGTGGCACTACTAGATATAAATATACACGCCTTAAACTCATATAAATTAAGCCGCCCATAATAACACAGAGGTTCATGATTGAAATTACACGTAACAATTTTTCTGTTAGAACACATGCAGTTCAACCCATGCAACAGCAAACATCCAAATAACATTCCAACTTTCTTCGACTGAGCTACTGTATGTTCCACATGATGACATTTTTGGCATGGTAGAACAAGCAGCACTCAACAAGCTTTACCTTGTGAGCTCGCCTCATACGAGCAAAGAAAGCCTCCTTCTGAGGAAATAGACACAAATGACAGTCAAGTGGTGCTCGGTAACAATGAAACAATTTTTCACAAAAATCCTGCCTCAGGCTTGCATTGTGATCCCATCAATCAATGCCCTTTCAGTGGAATAAGATGCACGATATAGCCCATACTGTACGTCAGCATCTTCAGGAAGGCATAAATCCCCAAAATGCATCAATACAGTAGATTCCACCTCGGGAATCTTCTGCATTTAGAGTTTATTCAGACCCCGGTTTCATCTAACTGACAGACAAATGTCAAAGCTTTCTTAAAGTTGTTTGACTGAAGGTGATGACTGAGAGCAAAATGCCTTTCAAACCTTAAACCTGCCACATACAGTACTTTGTAGACAACAGTGAACCCTTTTTTTATGAGAGGAGTGTCTCATTGCAAGGAAGCAATAGTATCAGGACAGAGATGAAACAGCTTAGAAGCTTTGTTTTAAAGGAAAATGACTTTTAAGGAAAAGCTGCTAAAGCATTATATGTAGGAAACAGGAAAACACGTAAAACTCCAACTGCAAGTATTGGATTTTCTACCATATCTGGATGTCTTTAATGTAATAAAACCCCGAACTGCTGTTGAAATTGTTCTCAGATAAGCAATAAAGCCAACCATAGGCCCTCCCAATGGGAGACGGACCCCAGTTACTAGCCTGGAGAGTTAAGGGGTTTCCTCGAGTGGAGAAGCTACACTTCCCCTTACCTTGTCTCCCTGGTACACCACCGGGAGCTGCCAATAGGAGGCCTCCTGGCTCAGGCTTCCGAAGTTGCTGTAGGACAGCTGTGTGCCGTCTGTGGCCACCTCGACCGTGAAGCCAGTGGTGATTCGTGTGCTCCGCTGCCGGTTCACCAGGGCAAAGTTCTGGAAATTGCCGGGAGCAAATGTGGTGGATACCTAGAAAAGAGCACAACGCATTCGTCCATTCAACGCAGAATTGTGGCTCGTGTTATATATTTACTCAAAGCACATGGATATGTAACGATGATGTCCACGTCCATTTCAACAGTCACAATAGTAGCCATGTTGCACACTGCTGCGCAAAAATCACAGCTTTTAGACATAGTCAGGAGTTACAACGTATTGCTATCATGAGCAGACATCAATAATTTACTCAGCAATCATCAATAATTTGCTCAAAACCTTCGCTAATGTTTTCTCCAGTTTTAAAAACCTTACGCCTAAATTCTTCCAAATCTTCAAAAATATGGTGACAACAGCATCAAAAGTGTACCTATATGAGCAACCAAAGTGAAGTGTTGTAGCAGCTAATCCATCACCTTTCAAATTGACTCATGATCAGAAGATCCTTATCATTAATATAATTTGCTCCTTTCTATATACTGTAAGTATGCATAAAGCTAAAGAGTAACTATTTTGCACTACAAACTACAGAGGTGTCAGGATTAACTGACAGCTTGAAAGACTATGGAGTTTTTCCTTGCCACTGTCGCCTTAGACTTGATCACTGGGGCTTCAGGCCCGGGAAATTGTAAAGCTGCTTTGTGACCATGTCCATTGTAAAAAGTGCTACACAAACAAAACTGAATTGAATTGAATTGTCAGAGGGGATTTGTGGTCTCACAGACGGGGCACAGGGCACTGGGCTTGCACACTCACCACGTCTCTGTAGTAAGAGGAGCTGGTGCACTGCTGGGTGACACCCATGCAGAAGCAGGACAGACATCCGTCCTTCTGGTCAGCACTCAGGTGGAAGTGGCCCTGCTTGCAGGACCCACAGGTCGGGCCCTCTGTGTGCATCTGCAAGAGACAACATGCAAATGTATGACTGACGTCCCAAACCCTGGTCTGATAAGCCCTGAGCTGGGAATGTGTACTTACTGCTAGACTGGAATGGGAATGAATGTGAATTACAGGATTTAATAAATTAAATTTAATATATCACTACATCTTAAATTGTGTAATCATCTTCTTCCTTCACAGCAAACTGAAGTCAACGGCTCTTTTAGGCTCTTTGCTAAGCTTTTTTTTCGGATACACTACATATTTGTGACGTCATTCAGATGTTATTCTCATCTGAAATGTCATCTCTTTTTTGTTACAGGTGTGATTTTAGTGCAGCAGCCTTATAATACATAATATCGGCCCTATGAAATAAATGAATGTTGATATGCATTGATAATAATGTATTATGCATTACTATAATTATATAATGATATAAGTATACATTACTGCTATAAGGTCCCTTGATAATTCCTATACTCAGAATTGCTGCTTTAAAGTTTAAATTCCACGTCGCTAAATTCCAAGTTAAAGTAAAGTATAGACTTGGCTTTCTTTATGACTAGACATTCTGCTTTACCTCTTTTGGGAAGTACATTCAGAAGTCTGTACTTCCTGTTCTGGATGTGAGAGCCTACAAAGCAGCCTCTGAAACAGTTCCTGGGAAGCCTGATGTTTCTTTATCTTTCTGCTGTGAGATGTGTTACATGTGCTCCTGTTTGCTTTCATCTCTGGGATCTCAACACTCTTGATTGATTTGCCTTTGTACCAGTTGACTAACTCACTGACTCAGATCTAGAGGACTCTGATTGCGAAACCTCCTTCACTGTCTAACTCTCTCTATACACTGATCATGTCTAGCTATTAACCTGGATCTCCCTGTAGTATATACAGTTTCTGGACTCAGTTCTTGTGCAATGAATTACAGAGGAAATGGAGACTATCTAGCTTTGAGGGTCTTGTAAATTTCAGGGCCAAATTGCTAGTGACTGATTCTCACCACTTTTAACACTGTCCCCTGATCTTGATCTTTTCTGTCCATTGTTGTGTTCTGTTTCACCACGCAGCAGTGGAGTAACGTCACAAAGAAGAGGTTTCCATCTGACTTATGTGCCAGCCATCTGCCACCCCAATTTCATTGCGATCCCACAAAAACAAAACACAACCCTGCCAGGACTCAAAGAGCTCAGCTACCTTGCACTTGCACTTTCCACTAGAGTCGCACCCCACGCTTCCACTCGAGTCACAGCTGCAGCTGCCTGGGGAGAAGAAAGGAGAGCTGAATCCAGCACAACAGGACAAACACCCCTTTTCGGGAGAGAGCCAAAGTGAATGAACCGTAGACCACACGAGCAGAGAGCTGCAGAGCTAACAGATGATCTTCCTGATCGGCAGTCACATCCGCTGTCCCAGCACTTTGACAACGCATTACGATCTCGACTACTAGACCAGCTCTTCCATCAAACCCACAGTGTGCAGATGCTCACACTCTGCCAAGAACATCTCCGATATCCAGGAACAGGTTCAGCTGTTGTTCCAAGTACAACAGCACCCACGCGTGCTGAGAAGAGAACACTTGAGATGCATATACAATATTTACACTGTAGCTAATATGGAGGAAGAAAAGGATATTTACATTTTTGGGCAAGAGAAAATAATTGATGACACATTCTATACTGTATGTAGAGAAATGCATTCTAAAAGCATTTCTTTCATGTGAAACCCTAACGGTTCGACATCTACATGATCATGAACTAACTCAGCCACAGCAGTGGGTTAAATGTTAGCAAAACTGACCTGCAGACAGTTCATTGTCGGAATTAAAAATAATCATCGAAGAAAATACAGAGGAAGGAAAGGACTTACCATTATAGCAACGCTGCCCAAGCTGTGGATTTCCAATAAAACCAGATGCACACCTATTACAAAAAGAAAGAAATCATGACTCTGAAGCCAAAAGTAAGCATTCTTGCTCCTAAATGACTTATTTTAAATTTCAACAAGATCAGGAATGACCAGCATACAGGCCCTTGTGCCCCTGCAATAACACATGTCAATGTGGATGCTGTGAATTGTTAGTTGCAACCTAGTAACAAACATTTCCTTCAGTTGTATGTGGTAAGCAGACATTTGTTGAAAGCTGAAAAGGCAAAACAATCTATTTTCGGGATACACCCTACAATTTTCAAAGGTTGGGTTACAGTGGCTCCAAATACAATTATTCATTAGGTACCAATATGCCAATGCAATTATTAGAATTCTCACTGAGGGGTCTCCAATATTTCTTCTGCTTAGGACGCAGTTCTGTGATGTACAGTAGTGTTTGCAGGTTCAAAACCTAGCAATGTCACCAGCTGGAGGCCACCTAATCTCTGTTATCAGAACGCTTTGCACCTTCCACTCAAAAATCACAGCTTAAAAAAAGCAGGACAGTCAACAGTCACTTCCACCAACATAAGTGTTATAAGCAATATAGGTTTTTACATGTTGAACAAAACAATACACCAAAAGAAAATGGACAATGCAGAGGAGGCCTCCAGTTCTTATCCCCACATTCCTGCGCTCTGACCTTCATGCTCCAGGCATGCAAGTTACTTGATTGTAAAACAATGAAACATGGCATTGAAGATAACATGTAAAGAGTGCATTTACACTAGACTGCTTTCAATGGTCTAGGAAATACATCAGACTTTAACCCGTCTAAATTCCAGAAAGGCAACTTGCCTTGGAGCAGTGCTGAAGAAACAAGTTTAACCCAACATGCATAAGCATACACACAAAGACATACATATTTAGGCAAGAGGAATATCTAAATACCAAAACCTAAGGTCATGTTTTTTTTTATTTTTAAGGATTCACTGATAAAGGCCTACGGTAAGACCCAGGGAGTTGGGGCATACATCTCTTAGAAAGATCTCCATACACACCTCAAAAGAAGGAGCAACAAAGAGAACTTATGAACTTTGCAAATACCAAAATCTGTGTCTACTGCCTTTGTCAAACAGTCTCGGCTGTAAAGAAGTCTGGAAAAGACAATTAGTTTGTTGTCTTTATCAGCTGTAATCCTTTGAAAATTAAGCAGCAAATCATAAATACTTTAAGGACGTGTACAGTAGAGGCAGGAGGATTCCGTTTTTAAAAAGCAGCCTTTGTGCGCAAAAGTGAAGGTAATGTTTCGAGGATAATCCAAGGTAATGTTTATTCAGCCTGAAAATGTTTCAGTTATGGGACTTTCTACATACTGGACCTCAGAGAAACGTTTCCTCCAAACACTGTAGTAAGGAAGCTATTAATTTCACACAAAACCCAACTGACGGTCAGCACAACTTTGAAAGCGAAACCCCCGCAGCATGTTTATGACATGAAAAAGAGAAAGCCACAACAACAAGTGACTGTTTTGAAGCAAGAGCGTCACCTTTTCCCAAAGCTTTGCCAAGCAGACACGAGGACATGTACCTACTATCACCAGTACAGCTTTCAGGACGTCTTACCTGGCTCAGAGGAAGCTCTTCTGCTAGTTAGGGTGATGGTCCAAGGTACTGTACTAATAAGATGGGACTTCAAAACCTGTTATCACTTTTATGTTTTTTTTTAACCACAAAAGGATCTTAAAGATGCATTATTGGTTAATAGAATGTTCTGTTTGTGCACATAAGTCTGTTTGGGCATGTACCATATCTTCCCAAAGGATCGAATCCCAGCTCTGTGTTTAAGGAGGAAATAAGACACGACACAATGCTAGAAAAGCAAATATATAGACTTACTCCTGGGATATGAAACAAACAGGCTCTTAAATGATTGTCTTTTTGGAAATGCGAAAAATGCAAAATATTTTTCCTGTAGCCAAACTAATATTTATATGGGGTGCCACAGTCTTGTCAAGATGTACAGTGCAAGAAATATTTAGGTTCCATATGAACCTGCAAACATCTGTTTGTAAATGTGGGAAAATGTGGCATATAGTTTGGGGCCATTTTAAAATATGCAAATAGTTCAAGAGCCTGCTAGCCTATATTATACACTATATTATTGTGTGATATTTACTACAGTTGTAGCTTTTTAGGTATTGTAATACATACATTTTGATGTATTATTATTGTAATACATCAGTGGCCACGAATGTTTTGTCAGCAGAAAACTCCATTACTAACTGCTGCGCTGTTTGAAATCCTTTAATTACATTATAAATCAAATTAAACAATAGCATTCCTCACTGACAAAATACAAATATGTATGTACTGTAAGTATACATATTTACAGTATGCAACTCGGACTGATATTACATTTTATTTTAGACAAACCAGCCTGCTCATAGCTTGCTCAAAACATTTCAGTTACACAGTCGAGAAAGAATTCTTAAAAAAAAGCTCTTGGCTCGGCTTAAATGTATTGAGTTTCAAGACGCCAGAAATTGGCTGAACATCAGGACATGCTGTAGTGGTCTAAGTTACCATGGCAACACAATAAAACATACTATAGTTAACATCCACAACTGTCTGCGCCAATGGTTAAAATCTAAAAATGCTTGGTTTAATTCAGCATGGCAGGAATTCTGTAAAACAAAGCATGATTTCAATATATACATTCGAGACTTCTGAGGTAGTCATTTTGGACCAGCATTTAAACCCTTACATGAGGGATGAGTGCCAAAAGGTAGCACCGTCACCTGGTGTTCACATTCACCATGTGACATTCAGAATGTTAATTCAGTTTTCTGTAGGATTCCCTAAAGATGGCAGCCCCTCACTCTCACGTTCCAGAGATTCCCAGGACATCCATGGTCACACTATTGAACAGCCGTAGTTCAATGGCACTAATTTGATTTCTACACCCACACACCACAGCAGTGCCAGTATAGATTTACTGGTCTCCATGCCGGTGCCCTCATGGCATCACCCTTTACACATTTCTCTGAAACTGATTATTTCCATGTTTCGCCTTGAACATGTCCAGAGCTACAGGAGATGAACATTTTATCTGAACGTTTATCCAGGGGCTGAATGCCCTCTTCTTGTCTTGTCTGGAGCCATTTAAACGCAATGTATACAAATAGTAAGATTCAATGGTACAGGTAAATGCACATGTAATGCAAGTTACGTATTCAAACAGACTCAAGGCAGGGTTTTTTAATAACAAACAGGTCTGTTATTAAAACGGGTAGTTTCCTGTATATGCAAAGTATTTATCATGAGGTAAAATGAAAGTGAAAAAGTCTTCACAGGAATTGTGTTATGCAGAACACAGTTGAAATCAGGAGTGTCAAACTCATTTACTGTACCTAATTGTCATAAGCATCATCATAAACATGAAACAGTGTTCTGCTTTTCACAACTGATGTACTCCTAAGGTTACAATGAGTGATACTGGGCAATTTCATAGACCTTGCAAATGTGCTATGAGCTTTATGTAAAAAGGTAATAGGAATTAAATTTTCATTTTGCAACATTGTGCATTACAAACAGATTTGGAGTAGCTAATTATCTTTACAAAATGGGGGAAAAGTGTATCTTAACAAAAAGTGGGAAACTGTGCATCTGAAATGCACATTCTCTGCTTCAGGGACTGATGAAACACCTGTGAAAACGGAGAAGCAGTTCAACTTGTTTCAGACTTCGCAGTTTTGTGTTTGTAACAAGAAAACAAAAAAAGCAAAAAAGCCAGGTTAAAGGGATGTGTATGTGACAAAAGATAAACATTGAAAATTAGGGAAACTATTTGTTCGATATTTGCCATTTAAAGCCAGGAGAAAATCGGCTCAATTAACTTAATTAAACAAGTTCAAACCAGATCTGGGACATGATCAAAGAGAAGCACTGCGATTGGATAAAGATAGAGAATACGAAATTGCTGTGTGTGAGACAGGTACACTAGCATCACTAAGGTGGGCTTCACCTGTGGGCTATGCTGGTTCAGACAAGACATGAATCACATCCTCGTTAATGGCTCTGACTGTCATACAGCCCAGACAGGTGGATTCAGTGGGACATCCTGCAGGCAGTATATTTGAAATTAAAACATACATTTATATGAAAACAATGGACTCACTAGATCATGTCTATTTCTGAAGTGTAGAAAGGGCAAGAGAAAAACGTAAAAAAAATATCAGGTGAGAACATTCAGAGGCGATTCCAAGCAGGTGCAACTTCAACATCCTAAAGCCTTTTTCCTCACTGCAGATAAAAGTGCATACAGTGTTGTCGTCTCAACAATTTCAAAAACGTGTTTTCTGTCAAAAACCCGAAATCCACTGAACACTTCTGATGACACAGGAGATCACAAAAAAGAAATAGCCCCTCATTTACAAAAAAAGACCCTTCAGTAAACAGATTTAGGTCATTTTATAGTCCAGAAACTTCCATAATGTAAACTTCCAAAGATTTGTTTTCCAAAAAAAAATGTTTAGTCCAGGGAAACAACGTCACAGGGATTGTTCTTTTCAAAACTCAGTTATAATCAGGGATAATTTTAATGGGAATGGCAAGTCGCCCCAGAATAATGTGGAGAGAGGGATCCTGTTTTTGTCTCTTCCTGGGTTTCTGTCTTCCTTGAAGTAGCTTGAGTAGATCCAGGACACTTGTTTTCTGCTGGGGCTTTTTCCTGTTGGCAGCGCTTGGTCTCTTAGCTGTGGCGTGTTTGCCTGTGCTTTTCAGAAGCGTCTTTGTGTTTGCTGGCTTCTGTTTGGTGGGAATAGGTGATTTACGGGAGTCTTTTTTGGGCAATGGAATCTGCCTGGCAGATTCTGTGACTGATTTTTCTGCAGGTAAACGGGTAGCTAGTGTGCTCTTTTTATGGGAAGGTGGCACCACCTGGTATAGAATGGCAGCTGAAGCATCTCCCCTCTGTCTAGATGTTGAGTGAGGCGCATGATGAGGTTTCTTTAAAACATAT